GTATGTCAATTTAGACCAACTTTTTGAGTTGTAGTTCTAAAATGGTATTCTTTCTTCTTCCATTCAGATTATTTCCAGAAAGAAGAAAACAGCGAAGTATGAGAAGGCTGAGGTAAGTAGATCACTTACATTGTAAAAAGGCTCTGTTTAATATCTTACTCCTGGCAGTTGCACACTGATGGGTCTCAGTTATACTGTACATTCCAGTCCTGAGGGCTTAGGGGTGCTGTTCGAATGAGCTTTTACTTAGCTCCTACTGCATGAGTCCCACGGTGGACAGCCTTAACTACCTTATATTGAGTCGTGCTTTGTACATCTCAGCATTTAGTGAGTCTTCTCGGGGCGTATACTCTAGTGGAGTCACGTTAGAGAGACTTGGGGACTAAGGAAGTGCTGTGATTGTCTCTCTGCTGGGGAGGAATCAAATGAGCGTAACTTGTCACAGTGTATCTGTCATATGCTAACTACTTGTGTGTAACGGTGTGAAACTAGACCGTTGGTGGGTTTAAGTCACTCAGAATCAGATGTGAACACGTGTCCTTGCGCTTTATCAGTAAGTTTTTATATACTTGGCATTTTATGTATGTTTATTTGCACTCGTGTAGGTGTCACTAACATTTAAAAAAATAAACAAATGTGAAAGAACATTGAAAAAATTGAATAGAGCAGAAAGTAATATTTTCTTCCCATTGCACAGATCATCTGCTTTATCTGATGTGATGGCCACAGCAGCACTAGGGCCGAACTGTGACAGGCAGGCAGAGTGCTGATGTAGTACTAGAGTTAAGGGCAGCGTAGACCTGGGTCTGAGCACTTACTAGCTAAGCAAGCCATATAGCTTCTCTAACCCTCTTTCTGCGAGCTGGAGATCACTGCAGGCCTGTTGCAAGGATTAAACAAAGTAGTTTGTGTAAAGTGTTGGTCCAGTGCTTGCCACACAGGGAAAACCTTGCCAGCAGGAGTCACGGCTGTGTCAGTTCTTCCTGTAACTATGTGATACGATTTTTAATTCTGAACTTCAGTTTCCTCACCTATAAAATGAAAGATTGATAACAGAAAGTGAATTTGTTCTTGTTAGCTATAAAAAAACAAGCATTTAGTATAAATCTCTTCTTAAAGATTGAGCTGACTGCCGCTTTCCCCAGTCCCTTTGGCCCTTTGGTGTTGAATAGCAGCGGGTCACGCCCTCAGTATGTGTTTCCTTGTAATAAACTTTCTGTCCGTTTACATGTCTTATAAAATGTGAAAACGAGTCACTTTGCTTTCTCTTTAGTTTTTAAAAAACTTTTCAGAATGAACAAAAGATTGAAAAATCATGTAAAAATTTCTTCTGTACCTTTTCTGTTTCAGATAAAGGAGATGGGTGAGATGCACAGAGAACTCAATGCATAACTTCTATAATTTGAAAATTTACCACAAGAAGGGACATTAGCAAAAGGACTACAGATGCATGAACATGGGACAAAAAGATGCTTGAGTATTGCTGTGTTGTTAGTTAACATCGTATATTTGTAATAGAGAAACCTGTACTCAAATATAAGCAGCTTGACATTGGCGTTATCAGTCTTAAAATCTGACCATAACTGTATCATATATGCAGCTCTAATAGTAAAAGCCAGGACAGGGGCTGCATAGTTAAAATACGTGTAATATTGAAGAGTGCATTCAGTGTGCTTCCACAGTAGAAGGATCACTGTCTTGTTTGTGATTGAAAGCTGCCTTTCTAGTACTTTGAGTCTTGTATTGTACATATAAACTTTTTTATGAAGTATGAAATAAAACATTTTTAAACAGAAGTTCTTAACTTTGGATCAGATTTCCTAGTATACACTTAGTAGGTTAAAAACTGCTCTGAGAAACTGAGAGGGTGACAGTGTGTATCTCTAATTCCACCACTCTGGGTGGCTGAGACAGGAGAATCACAAGTTCAAATCCAGACTAGGGGACTTAGACTCTTTCTCTGAAAAAAGAAAGGAAAAGGCAGAAGAACTGGGCTTGGTGGTGCTTGCCTGTAATCGCAGCATTTGTTTTTTTTTTATGGTGCCTGGAAGCGAACTTAGGACCTTGTGCTTGCCAGGCAGGTGCTGTGGTTTTTTGAGACAAGGTCTTGTTCTATAAGGCTGGCCTCAAGCTTGCAGTGATGCTCCTGCCTCAGCCTTCCGAGTGCTGGGATTACAGGTGTGTAAAAACACTGACAAAACATTTTAAAAAGTAGGAAAGCTAGATTTAAATAGTTACCTATGTTTTTTACCCGTTCTATGGTAGGCAGGATTCCAGGGTGGCCCCCCAAAGTTCCTACCCTTGATGTACATGTCCTCTGTAATCCCTTACCCCAGACTGTGGCAGGACATGTGACTATGGTGGCTTGTCCTTCCCAAGATGTTATGGGAAAGGTGAAGGAGTTTTGCAGGTGTGATTAAAGTCTGTAAGAACCTGGTTTTGAATTAAAAGGTTACTCTGGGCCTGACCTAACCAGGTGAGCCTCTTAAAAGGATGTGCAAAGAGGCAGAAGCGGGTGTAGATCAGTGGCAGAATGCTTTTTTCTTTTGTCTTTTTAAGACAGGGTCTCAGTATGCAGTTCAGGCTGGCCTTGAGCTCACTTTGTAGCCCATGCTGGTCTCAAACTCACAACGATCCTCCTGCCTCAGCCTCCCGAGTGTTGGGACTACAGGTGTGCACCACCACGCCCGGCCGGTGGCAGAATGCTTGTTGAGCATGCACGAAGCCTGTGTTTAACCCCAGGCACTGCAGAAATAACTAGAAGATGGGCAGAAACACAGAGGTGTTCTCTTGGTGGCCCTGGAGAACACTACCAGGTTGTGGGGAGTATTAGGTGTCTGGGAACAGAGGGGAACCCTAGGAGCTGAGGGCCTGGGTCCCACAACCACAGGAACGGAACGTTGCTAGCAACCAGTTGGGCCGAAAGAGAACCCTAAGTCCCTGACAAGGTGGAAGCGCTGGCAACACCTTTATTGCAGTCAATGATGTAGCACGAAATGACCGCCGCTTTTCCCCCTCCCCGCCCCCAGCCAGTGCACTTCAGTGTCTTAGTTGCCCAGGTAATAGTTCCTGTTGCAGCTCTAGTTGCTTCTGTCTCCCAGAAACAGCTGGTCGCTGTGATGCACAGCTGGTCACTATGATGCACATTGTAAGACCCAATCCCCAGCTGACAAGCCATTCTGCCTCTGTACTTCCTGCTTGCTTATCCCAAATAGGCCCCAGACCATCAGAGATCGGGGCCTGAGATTGTGAGAATGAGCCCGATCAGTGCCCACTGATGTAAATAAATCTGCCTCCAAATCCTGGGTGTCGTGTCAGTGTTGCTGTTTGCCATTGCAGTGAGTCCCTGGACAAAGGACCAGTTAACATACTT